GAATAAATCATCATTTTACAACTGTCATAGTAAAAATTAATTTAAACAAGAATCATCTATGAAAAAAAGGGATCATCTCTGAATGCTAAATCCAAGAGGGAAAACTGGATAAGAAGAAGCATATTTGCATGGTCTCAGTCTCTCGTGTTAGCTGTTCGTTAAGTAAGCAACAATTTTACCACAGCAAAAGAGTGACTATATGGTAGAGAAACCATAACACTTGGACAAGTAATCAAAATTAACATTAACAGGAAGAGGCTGACAGATACAGTGTGCCTTCAAAAGCAATGTCCTGAGAAGAACAGAACTTAGTTCTCAGTTATGTACTAATCCAAAAAAGACTGCATAATCTATCTTGATAAAACTTAAACATTTGAGACACATTCTATAAAATAAACTGGAATATATATATATATATATATATATATATATATATATATATATATTGATTTCAGAGAGAAAGGGAGTGGGAGAGAGACTGAAACATCAATGATGAGAGAGAATCATCAATCAGCTGCTTACTACACACCCCACACTGGGGATCCAGCCTGCAACCCGGGCATGTGCCCTGACAAAGAATCAAACCATGACCTCCTGGTTCATAGGTTGATGCTCAACCACTTAGCCACACTGGCCGGGCAAACTGGCCTATATTCTTTTAAAAAAATGCCAGTGTCATGAAAGGCTAAGGATCTGTCCCTACATTAAAGGAAACAAAGAGATGTCATTAAATATAATAAGTGATCCTGGACTGAATCTTGGGCTAAAAAAATGCTTACAAAAGATATCACTGGTACAATTGACAATATATATGTAGATTAAAGTATTATATAGAAGCTAAATTTCCTGAATTTGATAAGTATGGCTATATTTTATAAAATAACTTTTTCTAAATATTGGAGTTATTTCCAAATAGAAGTGATCGATATCAGATCAGTGGTTGCCTAATTTAGGGGGATGGGGTTGATTAGAAAGAGGCCTATTCTGGATAATGAAAGTGTACTTTATCTTGACTGAGGTGTTTGGAAACACAGGTATATACTTATGTATTAGAATCCATTGAACTGTACACCTAACCCTGTGAATTTCAATAAATTTAATTACACCTAATTTTTTTAAAGCCACTAAGGAAACTTAAAGTTTAGCATGAGGCGAAAATTAATCATCACAATTCATAATCATAAGCCTATCTGAAAATGAATTTGGGGTTTTGAATTTAAACTGCCTATCTGACCTGGGAAACCCTAAACTAGGAACTCACTTTACAAATCCTCCCTAAAACAATTTACCCAACTCTTTAGGTCTCTTCAAGATTCCCAGAGATTAAGATTATCTAATTACTAAAACAAAATTTTTAAAAAATTAGAAAATACATTGGGAAATAAACCATCATCATGAACAACAAAAAGCAAAAATAGCTTCCAAAGGACTTCAGATATATAAAATAAGTATGTTGTAAATATTTATACAAATAAGAAAATTAAAGCATGGCGAGAAACAGGATACTATCAACATAACCAGGTAGACAGGAGCTGGATATTCTAGGACTTAAAAATACACTACATGACATCTAGAACAGAAAATAAAATGTTCCTATTCTCCAATTACAAGAAAGGAAAGGACTGACTGTTCTTTGACATTAGTCAACAAATCCCTAAACTATACTCTGACATTCAGCAAATCCTTAAACTCTCCAGCTTTTTAAAAGTCTCCAGACTTCCCCAAAGCCTGATACAATACCAATTCTTTGCTTTGTTTAAAGAGCCTGTCTAAGAAGCCCAGTTCTCTCTTGCTTGACAAGTAATAAATTCAGCTTCTTTGTTTCAGACATATTGAACAGGTTTTGATTTCAGGTATTGTGAGTGGTGGTCTCTTTCTTAAGAGAATTTAATGGGGGGAGGGGAGGAGGATGGGGATTTAATGGGGGTGGGATGAGGACACATTTGTAATACCTTGAATTTTTTAAAAAGAGAATTTAATAGATTTGTTTAACAGCAAATGATAGGATTGGTAAATAAAAATATGGGTAAACAAAAAATATCCAACTGAGCCACAAAAATTTTAAAAATTAAAGAATTATGAAAAAGATGGTAAGAGATACTGGGACACCAAGAAAAGGTCTAATATAGTTATAACTGGAGATTAAGGAGTAGAAAAAAATGGGGCAAAATAATATTTGAAGAGACAGCAACTAAGAATTTTCCAGAATTAATGAATGGCATCTACCCACAGATTAAGCTATAAATACAAAGAAAACCACACGTAGGCATATTATAATAAAATTTTTGGATAGCCAAACAAAGAGAAAACCTGAAAAATAAATAAAGAGGGGTTGGGAGGACATATTGTAATAGCATCAAACATATTAAATACCTCAGAATAAATTTAATGATATATGTAAAAGAACTATACACTAAAAACCATAAAACCTTATTTAAATTAAATAAAAGGAGGAATCATTGAGATGAAAATAAATGGAGAGCAATGGAAGAATTCACATTCATGGATTAAAATACTTTTAAAATACTCTATATTATAAATATATCAAGTCTTCCCAAACTGAACTATAGACGCAAAACAATCCCATGCACAATCCCAGCAACTTTTTGTTTGAAAATTGATAATGATTTCTATAATTTACAGGCAATGCAAAGAGCCAACTTCTAGCCTCAAGAACTCTGAGACAATAAATTTCTGTGGCTTAAGCCACCTAGTTGAGGTACTTCATTAAGACAGACCTGGCAAACTAATACAGACAGTAGCTGCTGAGTGGAATATATGCACATTTTTTTACCCAACAATTTCTCTTCTTGGTATATACACAAGAGAAATGAATCCATATTTAACAAAAGATTTATATAAGAATGTTCATAGCATTGCTTTTCTAAGAGCCCCACACTAGAAACAACCTAAATGCTCACCAACAGTAGAATCAATAAATAAATCATGGTATATTTACACAGTGGAATTTTATATGGCAATGGGGATAAACCAAGTATAAACACATGCAACAATATAAAAGGATCTCACAATGATGTTGAGTGAAAGATGCCAGACACAAAAAAGCATATACCTGGATGATTACAATTATATAGTTGAACACGTAAAAGTAATTTATAGTGTTAGAGGTCAGGACTGTGGTGGCCCTTGGAGAGGAGGGAGGTAATAGTGATTGGGAGGGGCAAGAGGAAGATTTCGGGGATGCTGGTAATGTAATTCCCTTTCTGGATCTTGGTGATGGCTGTACTGTGAAAATTCTTCAAGTTGTACACTAATGATCAGCACACTTTTCTCAGTTTTTTACAAGCTGAGTAGGTGAGTTAAACAGCAAATTAGAATAACTGAATAATGAACAATAAGGGAGATCTTTAAAAACAGATATAATGTAGCACAGACAGAAAATATAAGAAAGATTAATGAAAGTATACAATAGAGTAAAAAGGTCAGATATAAATCTAATTGAAATTGCAGAAGATAATAAAGAGAATGGATAAGAATCAATATTTGAAGAGATAATAGCTGAGAATTTTCCAGAATTAACATGATACAAATCCCAGATTGAAATGCACTATAATTGGCCTAGCCGGTTTGGCTCAGTAAATAGAGCATTAGCCTGCAGACTGAACGGTCCAGGGTTCAATTCCAGTCAAGAGCACATGCCCAGATTCCAGGCTCAGTCCCCAGTGAGGGGCGTGCAGGAGGCAGCCAATCAATGATTCTCTCTCCCCATTGATGTTTCTATCTCTCTCTCCCTTCCTCTCTGAAATCAATATATATATATATATATATATATATATATATATATATATATATATATAAAATATATATATATAAATATATATATATATATTATTTTAAAAAATACTGAGTAAATTATTGTAAAACTACAGAACTCCAAAGATAAAGTTAAAATCTTAAAATCAGATACAGATAAAAACAAATGATTTACAAAGGAATGAAAATTAGACTGATTCTTTTGTGTGTGTGTGTGTGTGTGTGATGGTGTGTGGTGGGGCAGGGGGTTGTTTTGGTTTGGTTTGGAAATTTTTCAAACTCGCAGAAAAGCCAAACAATAATAAAATGAAACATACTTATACCACTTACCAGATTAACTCTGTTAACATTTTGGCTGACACACTCAAAGTTTTTCAAAACAGACACATGTCTTTCCCTTTTGGAAAAATGTAGAAAGTAGGCTGCAAATACGAGGATTCTTCACCCCAAAATTCTTTATCATCCCAGGAACAAGAACATTCTATTCAACTACAACACCATTACCTCATCTAAGATAATCAACATTAATTCAATAACATCACTCTAATAGAGTCCAGATAAAAGTTTCTCAGTTATCTAAAAAATGTCCTCTAAAGTTTACCGTTGTACTTATTCAGGACCTAATCAAAATATATGTTTTACTTTCAGATATTGTAGCTCTTAATTATCTCTCAGTTTAGAACATTCTCACTCATGACACTGAATCATATGAAGAGTTCAGGTCAGTTGTCCTGAAAAAATGTCCCACATTCTGAACTGGTTTGACTGCCTCCTTATGATCATAAGGTCAAGTATTTCCAGGAAGAACACCACTAAGGAATGCTATACACCTTCCGTGCACCACATTATGCCTGTCTAACATTATCCATTTTGTAATTTTTTCCCTTTGTAATTCATAAGTCACCTATGGGTAAGATTTTGAGACTTGGGAGCGTACTGTTAACGGCAACTGTGAAAACCAGAAAACTGCAGACTACAACTTTCAAAGTGCTAAAAAATTACTATCAACGTAGAATTACATGCCAACCAAAGTATCATTCACAAATGAAGGCAAAATAAGACATATCTCAAAAGACTATGTATACAACACACACACACACACACACACGCACACACGCACACACACACACACACACACACACACACAGCTTTGTACAGAGCTTTGAGTTTTATAAAACTTGCCAGGGATTTAACATTTGTAGCATGTCTTGAAAAAAGTACCTTACCTGCCATCTCTTTTAAGGGCAAAAGTGATGCCTTCTTTCTGAAAAGGAAGCAGCTTTGCTCTTAGTTTATCAGGCAAAAAATCAAGCTGTTCATAAGATTCACTTGTCAAACAAGAAATCTGAGATGTAAGAGGCTTTTTTATGTTATGAACTCTGGGCATGATGATCCTAAAATCAAAGAAAAAAACAAAAGGGAAGGGGTTAGGGAAATAAATATTAACTAAGTGTATTACAGAGTTAAACATAAATAATAATGTAAGCATACTTATCAGTAGCCTTGATAAACTATCTACATAGATATAAAACAAATCATGTTCCCAGAGTTAGCTATTAAGAAAATTCAAACCACTAAGTTCAAAAGCAACTACTTATTTCCTATCTAAAAACTCAGCATCCGGAGAAACCAAGATGGCGGCATAGGTAAACACTAGAAATTGCTGCCTCGCACAACCACTTTAAAAATACAACTGAAAGACAAAACGGGGAGAGAACCAAGATGGTGGCATAGGTTAACGCCGGAGTTTGGTGCCTTGAACAACTACTTCAAAAGTGAAACTAAAAAACGGAACGGACATCACCCAGAACCACAGGAACGCTGGCTGAGTGGAAGTCCTACAACTAGGAGGAAAGAGAAACGCATACGGACACTCAGAGGAGGCCCAGTGCTGAAGTCAAATTCTGAGGTGCGGAGTGCGCGGAGCGGGCTGGCGGCGGAGGGCGCGGTTGGCGTTTTCAATTGGGAGGGAGTCGCAGACTCTGAGCTCCAGATCCGGGCGAGTCTTTAGGGACCCAGATTCAAACGGGAGAAGCGGGACTGTCTGGCTTCGGTCAGAGCGAGTGCAGCTTTCTCTCCGAGGTTTGCAGCGGGTGCTGGGACTCGGAGGCAGAGCCCCTGGGGACAGGACTGAGAGCCGCCATAACTGCTCTCTCCTGCCCACCCTGTTGATCCTGTGCGACCCGCCCCGCCCAAGCCCTGCACAGAGGCATTTGCCAGATAGCCTCAGGCAAACGCCAGATTAGCACCTCCCTAGAGGACAGAAGTTCTCTCACTGCAGACACAGCTGATTCTCATAGCCACTTGGCCTGGAGGTCAAACCCTCCCTGGTATTAGCTACAACAATCAAGGTTTAACTATAAGACTGCGCACAAAGACCACTAGGGGGTGCACCAAGGAAGCATAACAAAATGCGGAGACAAACAAACAGGACAAAATTGTCAATGGAGGATATTCAGTTCAGAACCACACTTTTAAGGTCTCTCAAGAACTGTTTAGAAGCCGCCAATAAACTTAATGAGATCGACAAGAAAACTAATGAGACCCTCGATGTTATATTGGGGAACCAACTAGAAATTAAGCATACACGGACTGAAATAACGAATATTATACAGACTCCCAACAGCAGACCAGAGGAGCGCAAGAATCAAGTCAATGATTTGAAATGCGAGGAAGCAAAAAACACCCAACCGGAAAAGCAAAATGAAAAAAGAATCCAAAAATGCGAGGATAGTGTAAGGAGCCTCTGGGACAGCTTCAAGCGTACCAACATCAGAATTATAGGGGTGCCAGAAGATGAGAGAGAGCAAGATATTGAAAACCTATTTGAAGAAATAATGACAGAAAACTTCCCCCACCTGGTGAAAGAAATAGACTTACAGGTCCAAGAAGCACGGAGAACCCCAAACAAAAGGAATCCAAAGAGGACCACACCAAGACACATCATAATTAAAATGCCAAGAGCAAAAGATAAAGAGAAAATCTTAAAAGCAGCAAGAGAAAGAAACTCAGTTACCTACAAGGGAATACCCATACGACTGTCAGCTGATTTCTCAACAGAAACTTTGCAGGCCAGAAGGGAGTGGCAAGAAATATTCAAAGTGATGAACACCAAGAACCTACAACGAAGATTATTTTATCCAGCAAAGCTATCATTCAGAATTGAAGGGTCAGATAAAGAGCTTCACAGATAAGGAAAAGCTAAAGGAGTTCATCACCACCAAACCAGGATTATATGAAATGCTGAAAGGTATCCTTTAAGAAGAGGAAGAGGAAGAAAAAGGTAAAGATACAAATTATGAACAACAAATATGCATCTATCAACAAGTGAATCTAAGAATCAAGTGAATAAATAATCTGATGAACAGAATGAACTGGTGATTATAATAGAATCAGGGACATAGAAAGGGAATGGACTGACTATTCTTGGGGGGAAAAGGGGTGTGGGAGATGCGGGAAGAGACTGGACAAAAATCGTGCACCTATGGATGAGGACAGTGGGTGGGGAGTGAGGGCGGAGGGTGGGGCGGGAACTGGGAGGAGGGGAGTTAGGGGGGGGGAAAAAGAGGAACAAATGTAATAATCTGAACAATAAAGATTTAATTAAAAAATAAAAATAAAAAAATAAAAGAAAAAACGGACAACATCTAGAACCACAGGAAGGCTGGCAGAGTGGAAATTCTACAACTAGAAGGAAAGAGGAAAGCACACTGAGACTCAGAGGAGGTGCGGAAGTAAAGTGCAGAGTTACGGAGGCGCACGTGGAAAGGGCTGGCAACTGAGTACACTGTTGTCTTTTTCAATTGGGAGGGAGTCACAAGCTCCCAAAGGCTCTGAACTCCAGTTCTGGGCGAGTCTTTAGGTACCCAGACTAATATGGGAAGAAACTAGACTGTCTGGCATCAGGTGGAACGCAAGGGCGGCTTTCTCTCAGAGGTGCTTGCAGTGATTACCGGGACACTGAGACTCGGGGCCTTTTAGGGTAGGACTGAGGAACAGCCATAGTCGCTTGCTCCACCCTTTTGATCCCCGGAGACCCCACCCACCCAAGCTGTGTGCAGAGGCTTTTGCATATGAAAGGCCTGGCCCTTTGCAATCTGAAAATTACCTAACAAACTGCAGCTGGGTCAGAGAGATCAAGAACTTCCAAAAGAAGGCCCAAGGCTCCACAGCAGCTTGCATTGCTTCACAGCTGGGCCTCATCTGGGCACCTCCAAAACCCAAACAAAGAAGAGGAATCTGCAGATCTCTCCATAGCACCTGATGAGTAGCCTCAGGCAGAGGCTAAATTAGCACCTCCTTAGAGATCCAAGAGCCAGTGTACCCAGTGGCCAGAGTGGGACCATCCAGATTACAACTCCTCAGATCCATGAGGGACACACTCAGGGGGCAGATACAGTGAGCACCAAAGCCCCACTGAAGCAAGTCTTTCCCCAGAAAGGTGTCTCTAGCACAAAAGTTCTCCCACCATAGACACAGCTGATTTTCCCAGCCAATTGGCCTGGAGGTCAATTCCTCCCAGTGATACCTACAACAATCAAGGCTTAACTACAACAAGACTGTGCACACAGCCCACAAGGGGGTGCACCAAGAGTGTCCACCTCAGGTAATTGGGGAGGCTGAGACACTGGGCCCTATAGGACACCTAGCAGAGGAAGCCACTCTATTAACACAGGAAAGCATAAAAAATGTGGAGACAAAGAAACAGGTCACAAATGACAGAAATGGAGGAAAGCAAACTACAGGATAAAGAGTTCAATACCACACTCATAAGGTTTTTCAAGAATTTTCTAGAAACTGCCGATAAACTTAGTGAGACCCTCAAGAAATCTAGTGAGACCCTCGAGGTTATGAAAAAGGACCAACTAGAAATTAAGCACACACTGACTGAAATAAGAATATTATACTGAGTTCCAACAGCAGACTAGAGGATCGGAAGAATCAAGTCAAAGATTTGAAATACGAAGAAGCAAAAAACACCCAACCGGAAAAGCAAAATGAAAAAGAATCCAAAATTACGAAGATAGTGTAAGGAGCCTCTGGGACAACTTCAAGTGTACCAACATCCGAATTATAGGGGTGCCAGAAGAAGAGAGAGAGCAAGATATTGAAAACCTATTTGAAGAAATAATGACAGAAAACTTCCCCTACCTGCTGAAAAAAATAGACTTACAAGTCCAGGAAGCACAGAGAACCCCAAACAAAAGGAATCCAAAGAGGACCACACCAAGACACATCATAATTAAAATGTCAAGAGCAAAAGACAAAGAAAGAATCTTAAAAGCAGCAAGAGAAAAACAGTCAGTTACCTACAAGGGAGTACCCATACGACTGTCACCTGATTTCTCAACAGAAACTATGCAGGCCAGAAGGGAATGGCAAGAAATACTCAAAGTGATGAATACCAAGAACCTAAAACCAAGATTACTTTACCCAGCAGAGCTATCATTCACAATTGAAGGTCAGATAAAGAGCTTCACAGATAAGAAAAAGCTAAAGGAGTTCATCACCACCAAACCAGTATTATATAAAATGCTGAAAGGTATTCTTTAAGAGGAGGAGGAAGAAGAAAAAGGTAAAATACAAATTATGAACAACCAACACACATCTATCAAAAAGTGAATCTAAGAGTCAAGTGAATAAATAATCTGATGAACAGAATAAACTGGTGAATATAATAGAATCAGGGGCATAGAAAAGGAGTAGACTGACTATTCTCGGGAGGGAATGGAGTGTGGGGGATGCGGGACTGGACAAAAATCGTACACCTATGGATGAGGACAGTGTGCAGAGGGTAAGGGCAGAGGGTGGGGTGGGAACCGGGTGGGGGAGCTATGGGGGGATAAAGAGGAACAACTGTAATAATCTGAACAATAAAGATTTAATTAAAAAATAAAATTAATAAAAATAAATAAAAACTCAGCATCTCCGGGCTGGCTTGGCTCAGTGGTTAAGTGTGAACCTGTGAACCAGGAGGTCATGGTTCGATTCCCAGTCAGGTAACATGCCCGGGTTGTGGGCTGGATCCCCAGTCTAGGGCATGCAGGAGGCAGCCGATCAATGATTCCCTCTCATCATTGATGGTTCTACCTCTCTCTCCCTCTCTGAAATCAATAAAAATATATTTAAAAAATAAATAAAAATAAAAACTCAGCATCCTCTATTTTACTTGTATTTCGAATTGAGCCATAATATAGCCATAACCCTGTTTTAAGCAATAATATATTACTGAAAAGTTATCAGTCAACTACATTTTTACCAACTGAATAATTCTATATATATAAAACCCTAATATGCAAATAGAACAAATGGCGGAACAACCGAACAACTGGTCGCTATGACATGCGCTAACCACCAAGGGGCGTGTGGGGACATGGCGGGCATCGGCCCCAGC